TGGCCGGCAGGGGCGTGGCCGGCCGCGGCTGTGTTGCACTTTGCTCTCGGCCCACAAGGGGGCGCTGCGAGGCCGCGGCGCCACTGGGAGCCGCAGCGCCCGGATCTCGGCACAGTGGGCAGCGGGCAGCGGGTGGCCCGTCAGTCCCGCAGCGAGTGGGGTCCTCGCCGGGGTGCAGGGCGCCTGCGGCCGTCTGGGCAGGGCTGAGGCTGGGGCCGGGGCTGGTCTGTGGTCTGGGGGTTCGGCCGGCAGGCGGCAGGAGGAGGTGCGGAAGGCGTGGACACCATTCCCCAAGGGGAAGCCCCAGGGGCTCAGGGGGCCGGGAGCGAGGCCAGCGGGTCCCAGCCACTGCCTGGGCACCCCAGGACACGGCCCGGAGAGGGCGGCGGCTCAGCGCTGGAGCACCCCGGCCCCAGCCTCTCCGCCCCTCCGCCCTCCGCGACAGCAGCGCCCTGGGCGCCGCGGTCCTGGCCCCGCTGGCCCCGAGGCGGTGCCCCGCTGCCCAGCCGGCGTCCTGCCCCCTCCAGGGAGCCGGCCAGCTGCAGCTGCGGCCGTCGCCTGGACCTGAGCTTCGCGGGGCTCTCTGTCTTCAGGAAGCCGCGGCCGCAGGCGCCCTCGGAGGAGCGAGCAGGGAGGAAGGGCAGGGGGGTCTGCGTCCTGCCCAGGCCGCCGCTGGCCGCCTGCAGGTGTCTGGGTCCTGGCCGGTCTCTGGCCCGCGGGGGGCCGGGCCTGCCTGCTGCGGGCCAGCTGTCGCCCTGCGGGGCCTGGGCAGGCGCCGGCCACCTGGTGGGGGGCGGGAGGACTGGGGCTGTGTAGTCGTCAGAGAGTTGAGGAGAGCCGAAGGGGGTGGGCGCCCTCAGGCAGGCCTGGGGCCCCCCAAAGGTCCATCTCGCCGTCCACCGCCCTAAGCCCGGGGGTCGGAGCCTTTGGTGGGCTGTGGTGACTGTGGGGACCCCTGAAGCGCGCTAGCGGTCACGCAGGCCCGGCCTGACCTTGTCCCTTTCCCAGGGGGCCCGGACACACAAGCAGGATGAAGCCCCGCGACCCCCACAAGCTCGCGGAGGAGTGGCAGCGGGCACTGCGCGCGAGGGGCGTGTGGGGCAGAGGAAGCAAACCCAAAGGGAGCTGGAAAACTCCCGCAGTGCGCCTGCGCCGCCGCCGCCCACCCTTC